TATAAATTGTAATAACTAAAGAAGTTTAGCGAGTTGATCAAAACAGTGGCGGGGTCCCTGTTGTTATGGCTTCTGTAGATGTGCTTCGACACTTGTTTTTTTCAAAAGATTTTGCCAGAAAATATATTTTTGGTTTTTTGTAATATCAAATTAACCTTTACCATAGAATTTGCTGAAAATTTAGCTTTTCACAGACTTTTCTCAGTATTTTTCTTTCTGTGATGTTTATCAACGAGACATGAAATAACTTGTGATCATTATTCATCAACAAAACATCGCCAGGTGTAAACGTTCGATTACATGACACCTTCTCTCATTGGACAGTTGCGAGTTTATTGTATGCTGTGTAATATCTGAAGATAATTTCATGCTGAGGTTCTCGTTGAAAAGTAGAGTATTAAACTGTTGCTATATTAAACATGGTCTAGTGAAAAGGCTCAGCTCATTTTTTGAGGAACTAAAAGAAAACCTTATGTTGTTTTTTCACCTGTAGCTGAGGTAATTTCGCAACTTTTGAAAGGTTATGCCAACCACTCTCGTAATTGCAACATGTTTTTTAAACATGAGGTGCGTCTTCGTGCATCAACATGATGAAATATTAAAGCGTCAAGATTTATAAGCATTTGTTGTGAGTTTTAGTTAACGGTTTTTACAAAAGATGAAAAAAGCGAATAGCAGCTTATTCTCAGTCTCGTGATTAAACATCTCGACAGCAGCATTCAAGAATAACGTTTTGTAAAATATCAACATTATAAACTATAAATCAAAGTAAAGGTTAAAAAACGTTGAATTAAGGCTAACCTTATTAAAATCCTAACTCTGGAACATTCTTTCCTTTGGCTTTTCAAGTCAGTTACGCCAGCGCTTTCTATTTGGAAGAAAACAAAACATTTGGCGTGGGAACACTTAAAGGCAATTCTTCTAGTGCTGTTTTGGATGTGTTTCGCATCTCTTTGATCAAGGTCGCAAGAGGACATTTCACCTCTTTAAGAAGTAAGTAATGGACGAGACTGGCTTAAGCTGTGACGATGTAGCTAGCTTTTAAACACGCTACCCTCTGGCCAATCGTTTAGAAGAATTGTTCAAAAACCCTTAAATACACCAAAAGTGAAAAAACAGCAAAAACAAAAGCTCTGTTAATGGACGAAACCAAAAATAAACTCATAATTCTAAAAAAAAAATCTATGTATTGTGATTACCTACCCACGTCCGTAAGCTTGACTCTTGGATTCAGCACTGAGAGTTTTTTGAAATAACTGTAAATGTCCATGGGACAAGGAAAACTATTTTAGCTTTGGTGGAAAGGCGTATTGCCTAACAAAGCAGGAGCTAAATTTGCAAGTTTGTTCTTTCAATAAGATAGGCTGTAATCTCAAAAAACAAGCACGATATCCACTTTAGAGGCTTAATGTGTTCCAGCAAGACCATAATGTAATATAACCACATATTGCTAATGAGAGGGAGATAAGCCGCAGGCTATCCAATCTGTCATTTGACAGACTATCACTTGCGGAGTAGCTTATTTAGATTTTTGCGGTAGGAAGCTTAAGGAAACCAAGGCGGCGACGAGAACGCCACCAAACAAAAAGGTTTAAAGAGCAAAACAATAGCTGAGCGTGTGCGTTACAAATCTTTGTACATTCGTAGCCGTCTTCTGCAAAACAACAAGGTGAAAGGACTAAGTTCTGCGTAGTTTGGAAAACGCGAACGACGGCGGTTTAGGAGCTATTTACATGAAACCGGAATGACTTTCATTCTGCAACGAGTTCATTCCATCCCGATATGTATTTCTCTGTATCTGTTTACATGATACCGAGTCGAAATTTCATTTGTTTACAGGTCATTCTGGGATGAGTTCATTCCGGTTTGTAATCCGAATGAAATCCTCGCTCTTGCATGAAATTCATTCTGGTATCATGTAAAGTGAAAACGAACTTCGTTCTGAAATGAAAATCGCAAGCCGTGTAGTCTGGGGCGGATGGTGCATGCGTATCGTTTTCAAGATGGCGGAGAGAGGCCCACCGATTGTGTCATGTGAATGCAGTACGAACTTCATTCTGGAACGAAACACATTCCGGAATGAAAGCCATTCCAGAATCATATGAATTGCCCCTAAGTTTTCGTATATTGATTTGAAACTGAACACTGGCATGCATTACATATTTAGCTTAATTCTGAGACGGATAGGTACATTGAACAGATCTAGAAAATTGCGAAATTCGAAGGTAAAATATAAATTCACTTTTACTAGGCGTTGTCCTCGGGGTCGCCGTCGTCATTACATATTTCTTCTGACTTGACAATGAGGTCAGAGTTGGCGCTACAGAAACGTCATAGTATTCAAATACGGTGAAAGCCTCACAGTTAAATTGTTCTGTAAGGAAAAAACTAGAGGGTGACTGCTTTCTGTTTCCATGTTGATTGAAACACCGTTGAGGGTTCGGGGGGTCGGAATTCGAAAATACTTATGTCAATTCTCGCTTGCAATACCTTGGATAAGTAATATACATAAGTAAACGTTTTTTAGGGAGGCTGGAAAAAGTGTCCAGCTCTTTTCTAACGGTTACACTTTGAAGGATGAATACTACCACTGTTTAACGAGTGATGCTACAATAATGGTATCACACAAAAGCCCAATCATTGGTGAACAAGTTGCGATCATTCTTTACCTATAACAGGTTACCATAGCATTAATACAACCTCTCCATTTTTTATAATCGAATTGTAATAAGCACGATAAGATGCAACTTTTTACAAAGTTTGAAAAGGGTCTGTGGAGAGGGTTCAAAGCCACCTTGAATTTTCTAAAAGTTAATGTTGCTCTGAACCCTCTCCACAGATTTTTTATATCAATTACTATTTATTTACATTGTTGTCATGAATTTTGTTTATCGTTTTGCTTTTTTTTAATATAAGTAATCAAACCTAACATTGGGACAAAGCAAGAGCCCATCACTAGAAGCGTGCAACTACCCCATGTTCCTGTCACAGCGTTTTCATAGACCGATCTATTTTTAGTTTGAATTTACCGCGTATTCAGTTCCTCTGCAGGAACCTCAGTAACCAATCACAAGCACGGAATTAATTTTTAACTGTCGTCATCATTTCACCGGAAGAAGAGATGGGCTCCTGATGTGAGGTAAGCCATTCTTCTCCTTAGCGATGCGCGCTCATGGAGACCGGAACTGACCTATAGAAGCCCAAAGACCGGTCTGTAAAAATGCCGTGACAGGCTGAGTATGGGAGTTACTCGCTCCTATAGTGATGGGCTCCTGGACAAAGTTAATGGTATATGCATTTTCGTAAAGAATTGACATTCGGTCTGAACTCATTAATCTCCTTCATATATGACTAATAAATTACTTCTTATGATTGGCTGAGGGCAGGCCAATGTTTTGTTAATTTTTAATTTGTACTATTTCCACTGCAGGGCAAATTAACTCGAGCGTGTTCGTAATTTTCTCTATCATATAATAAATGAGAAATCGAGAGACAACTCGCTGCTCGTGATATTTGAAAATTCTTTCAGATTTCACTCGCAGAAAACTTCGTACAATTTTATGTACATTCTCAAATACAACTGTATCACTCTCGGTGTTAATCGTTAATTGCACCCGCATTCGTACGATTATCTACATATTGGTAATTACGATAACTTTATACTGAAAACCCAGCATTTACAAATGAATTCGACCGGTATTTCTAAGATGATTGAAACTGAACCCTTGTAGAACTCATGAAAAGGAAGGTTGTTTTGAGAAACTGAAATTTAAAACGAAACAAGATAGCTTTTTTTCTGCATTTAAGAAATACAAACAAGCCCAATACTAAAGGGGTTCTGGAAAAAATTAAACTGTTTATGTAAAATCAATATAAACTTAGCCTTCGGGCTATAATTTACATGTCAAGTGCTTTCGAATTCTTGAACACTCGCACATTGCAAAGTCAGTCAATTCCACTTTATGCCAAGTGGAGGTCATCATTATTCAAATAGCAATAACACCTGCGTAGATAAATACTGTTCAGAATTGTAGTTTGTATTTTACAGTATTCTCTCGGAAAAATTAGCTTGTTTAATAGCTACTCTAAAATTCGAGAAAAATAAAGTTTATGTAGGTAAGATAATTTTATGGCAACGCATTCCTTATTTCGCTGACACATTCTTTAAATCGAAAAAAAGTTCTTTGCCTTTCCTTTCTGTTCGTCTGTTATTCATTATTCGAACTTGCCGGCAGCTGGACTATAAATAATAAATTATTTTTTTCGGGCAAAGAAATTATGGTCAAAATAAGCTTTAACTATCAGTCTTCACCAAGACAACAGCACACTAAAACAGGTCAACGCTCGGTCAAAGAAAAACGAGGCTACTTACAGTAAAAGCTAGGAAATCAAAATTAAATTCTAAAAATAGGCAGATGTCATGCAGAAGCTTTTCGTAAATACGGAACATTTTGACGAGACTAAAGATTATTGAGACAATCATAAGTTTTGGAGATTCTCATGTACCACTGGTATCTGCAATGCTAGAGTGTGTACAGTGAAATTGTCTACTGCTTTCGTGTCAGAGCAGACTCTTGTTACATCTATTATTCTTATTTTTATCATTGCTTTTATTCATGACAGGGGAGAGTGGTTTGAAAAGAGACGTCCACCCGGCAATAATGGGCAGGGCCAAAATCGATCACGGCTCCTGGTGGTATCCATTCTCTCCTCGACCAATAGTCACTTAGGGAATAAAAACTGGGCATGAATGTGGAACTGAGAGACATCTTGCCAAGTAAAACTATGAGAATCACGGATTAATTCCTCCAAAAGAAACGCGACCAGTAGTTTTCTCTTAATTCTAATCATAGGAACATAGACAATCTCGCAAGGCGAGAACAAGGCCGGGAAAAACGTTCAGCAATTGATTTCACCCACTAAATGTGTTATTAAGCAGGACCAGGTGATTACACACAGCAAAGAGTAAACAAGACTTGAGAAAAACTTCACGCTAGGTCCGTCTTACATGTCCTTGTCGTAACTTTGTCTCCCACTAGAGTTATAACTTGCGCTCGTAACGGTAGAGTTATTACGTGCGCTGTCTCATAAAGAAAGGTCGACTTGAGGCACGTAAGTCAAATTTTGGCGGGTGGCTGTGAGTCATATAAAAATTGGTTAGAATGCATGATGCAAAAGCGAAACGAAACGTCTGAAGATGCATGAATAGCTTCGTCTTGTGATTTCTATTTAGTCAGAAGTTTGCAATTAATAACTTTATACTGATCTCTCTCCTCGAGATAGTATATAAAAAAACACGATACAGCCCAAAACTTTTGTTGACGAGCCTCAGGGCAAATAACAAAAACATAACAAAAAGTGCGAGTCTAAATGGCAAAGTTTTTCTCAGTATTTTGGGTGTGCTTGTCAAAATATTGCACACCTGAAAAAAATGGACCACGGACCTCCTCACGCCAGTTGGGCCGTATTCATGGCAACCGTGAATTTAACAAGCAGGGACAGAACCTGGTATTTTTACTACTATCAATCACTTTCGAGGCAAATGCGCCTTTTTTTCGAGAAAAATCAGTCGCCATAGGTGGGTAATTCAAAATTTCTGGCATCTTGACAAAGCGCTGACGTTGTGTCATTGGTTATTTGTTCCTCAAAACGAAAACTCACAGTTGCTTATAATTTCTAATCCTGGTTACCTTGGCTATAACCACAACTCGGGTAAATAAACGCGCCAAGTGGCCTGAGACGACTCTCTGCGTCATTAACTTTGCTCGATGTGAGACAGAGATTGTAATTATTCTGAGAAGATTTGTTCTTTAGCCAACGAAGCGTACAGTTCATGTCTAGAAAGTCGAAATTATCATATAAATTCTTTGGCCACGCTACTTTGTTGGAACAGTCCAGTACCAGAGTCAATTCGTAGTTTTCACTGAATAGGTGAAAAACCCGGATTTTTTCGCATTGTGGCAACAGATCTGGAGAAGATGGAGATGGCAAAATATTCAAAAGGTACAAGTGATATTTCAGTTTTTCAATTTTATCCTAATGCGTCATACGCGGTTGTAGCTGAATTCCGTTTACTAAGTTGGACTGTTCGTGAACTGTAGAGTAGTACTTTAAAAATGTTGTTGAAGATATACTTAATGACTGTTTACATATATGCCGGCCTGGGAACTCGTTTCTTATCTCAATCTCACCATTTTCAGGTCCACATGTATCAAGAACCACGCAGATATGGATTTTTATCTCCTTCATGTCGTTTTCATACGGCAACGTTGTCGGTAGGTGCTAAGTTCGAGTCATATTTTCCACTGTAAATGTTTTATGTTACATCCCAGTTAAATTTAACTGCACAGAGCAATTATTTCGCGCTTCAGGTTTTTTTCTTTTTTCTCAAATTTTTGTGAAATAATAGTTATGACATTTTTGCAATACGCCAGTGACTTCCTCAAACTCTCCCTTTAATTTCGCGATCGCTCCGGATTCTGCCTTATAGCCAGTACGCTATAAGACGTACCGCTAGGAAGCGGTTATGCCTTCCCTCTTTCTGTTATTTACCTTGCCTCGTATTCTCCGAGCAAGATTGATTCATTTTTCCTCTAATTTGCAATTGACAGATTCTGACAGATACGCTTGGCTAAATTCATCGATGCTTTTCGGGAGCATATTTTAATCATTTGTTTAAAGAAGAAAAATAGATTAATTAGTTTCATTGTTCTATTTCTGGTCGCATACCGCTTGCATAAACGTAAAATATTGAAGTTTACCAGATTAAGGGTTTTCTTGTTTACCACGATCCTCCTATTCTGATTTTCGTTTTCCTGACTCCAAATTAGAAATGTTAAACACCTTAGCAACGTCAAAGTTTATCATAACATCTCTTGGAGATAAGTCAAAACAAATTCAGCTTTCGTTCGCTGCTACCTCTGTTAACAATTAATACCTATGGTTTTGAGTTAAAGGTGGTCGCATTGTTATGCGAAATCAACAGAAACCTTTGATTAACTCGGCTTATGGTAGTGGTCTTTTCTGCCAACGTTAATAAAAACAATTTTGGTTTCGAAATCGTTTAGAAATACACTTCCCTTACAAGTAACATGCGACCCGTAATTTAGAAAATGTGACGTCCAGTCTGTCTTCTTGTCTTTTCTGAGCAATGCGGCCGGTGTACTTTGACAGAAACTTTTATCCGTAATATATTAGCATATCGGCTATTACATCTTTGCAAGAAAATTCTCGTTAGTTAAGTTGTTTACCTAGGAGCCTTCTCCGGGTAACTTGTACGGACGTTATATGAAGGAGAAATTTGAATTCAGGAAATGTCCACATTTTTCCCTCGCATCTTTTCGTTGAGAGTGACACTGGCATTGTCTTTGCCAGAAGACATTTTGCATATATTTTTGTTTCTATTGAGTTCCATTCAAAATTAAAAATTAAAGTTAAAAATTGAAGTTAAAAAATTTAAACTTTTCTCAATGTAAAACTGTCGTTCATTTCTCAGTCTTGCTTTTTACAAATGTTGGCCTTAGCTCTAGTTACCAAACAGCACTTATACGAGTTTAATACACAATGTTGAACAACCAAAATGCACAAACGGATGATTTGAATCTTAACCTATCAATTAAACTGTCTAAACTAACATCTAAGAAGTTCTGCACTTTTCAGTTGCCGCTTTTAAACAATTACTGACTAAGGTGGGAATTTGGGAAGCGGTAATAGGTGCACAATTAAGTAACATATCTCTTGAAAATTCGTACACAAACAGCGCACCAGCAAGAAGTTTAATCTTTTTTCACACCTTCCGCCAACTCTAAGCTTAATGAATTTTAGTAATTTCTAACTTTAGATGTTTAAATGGCTGTCTTAAAACGTTAAAATGTGGCTTATTCATTAAGATAAGGTTGACGGCATGTTTATTTTTAGGCTGACATATCTCTTCCAATTACTTTAAAAATTGAAAGAACTATAAGCAACGAAAACCTTTTGAAATTAATGCAAAATGACATGAATAAATTATGAAATAGAAACATTTCTGCTGAAAGGCAACTTTGAATCCCCACGAAAGACGCCAATTATGAGATAAAACTCAAGCATTTTGAACGAGTTGGTGAGAATTTTCTTTCCCAAGGGAATAACGCTGACTAATCAACGACCATCTTAAAATTATAAACGGTAAATGCCTTGTCGTTGCTATTTCAAATAATATTCCTTTCGAATAAATGCAAGAAATTTCTCAAACATCTCTTCCTATCACATACAGCAATTAGCATCCGAGCCAAATTAAGGGTAGTTTTCGTTAAGTGGAAGCTTAAACTTGACTCTGAAACTCCCAAAAATTTTGTGCTTGAAATTTGTGAAGAAATGGAAGTATCTTGTCTAACGTATTCTTTGATGGCTTCAACAAGATATAGGCACAATTTGGGGAACCAATTACAGTAACATCTTTATTTGGACATGTATGATGCGAGTGTTAAGATGAATCAACCCTGTATTCAGTCAGCTGAGCTAAGTTAACTTCTCGCGGAAAGACGCGGGCGAGAGTAACAAAAGGTTCGGCGAAGATGAAAAAAAAAATAGACAGAGTTCTTATCTTTCACCAACTATCTGTGTCTCCAGTCCCTTGGATCTTGCAAAATCGTAACAGAGAGAAGGTACAACAGAATTTTCCCATCTCATGCTGCAAAAGTGCCCCGCAAGGCAAGGAAACAGCGATGGGGATTTTTTTTACGCATAAAATGTTTGCACTTAGACTGACAAACAAAACATTTTACTAAAGGAGGTCTCGCCAACTTGGTACAAAGAAGTGTTTCCGTGACAGTTTTTCTCTACAATATTTCCTCGGTTGGCAGGAGACGTAAGGTTTAGGCTTAAGCGAACCTTGCAGTCATAGTAAATAAATAACCGTTGTTTGTTTCTTTATTTCGCCCCGAATTCGGTTTCTGGGCAGATCTTAACTTGATTCGAATTTAAACGTTAGATTTTCCTTTTTAGAAAGCGAAACGACTGAAAGCAGAAAACGTTTCTACATTGTAAACTGATGGACTGATGTCAAAAGGTGCATAATGTCAAAATATACCAAGACATACGTTATGTCGAAATGCATTTTGCTTTGCAGATGCCACAATGACAACGAAAAGAACGTTTCTATATTTTGACACAGGCAAATTCGATGGGTCTATAGCTTTCTGTAAGATTTCTGTAATCTTTTTAAAAAAATTGAATTTGAAAAAAACGTTTATTCGTTCCAATAAGTAACTTCATTGATCGGTGTCCAAACGGAAAATCAAGAGAAGTGCGGTCAACTTTGAGAGATTATGTCGTACAACACAATTACACTTTCCCATAAGTTCCAAATATGAAACAAGGGTGAGAAAGGATATTCAGTCTTTGTGTAATTTGTCGGTAAAGGAAAAGGCACTATTTTTCAAACGTTCCTGGCAGTCAAACTGATTCGATTGCAAATGATGGCGGATTTCGGTTTGGTTTTAATACTACAATTTTTTTACGTAAGGACCTATTGGTAGATTCGTCAATTTTTTTAGTTGCTGTATAGGAACCTTGTAATAAACTAAGGGTTTCCTATAATAAGAGAGACCAGGAATGTGTTTATCATTGATCAAGTGAAGTAAGAGATTCCGGATTATGGACCACCGCGTCAGAGCAGAGATCTCAAAGCAGTCTTTAAACAGATTAGAAATTGCTATGTTGTTGGGAACGTGGAGGCAGCGTATAGCAAGAGAAGTTAAAGGTTGGTTTTCACTAGAGCATAAGCAACATATACACGCAGCAGCTGCCGTGAATGTCCATAATTAGCACCTTTTGTTAATAAAGTTTTCCAGCAAAACGCGCTAGATAAAAACGATATGTAAAAATAACTGTTTTACCTTTGTTTTCCTGTTGTGGTTTGAAACCGAACGTTTCAACGATTTTCAGTTAACCTTGAAAAGCAAACCTTGGGTGAATAATCTACAGAAACGACAATTTTGTCTATGTGGTTCATGTTTTCGTAATTTGGTAGCAATAGAATTGAAATTCGTAAATATTAAAGAGCCGCTTCATTTGAGCCCAGTAACTTGGTTGGTTGGTTGGTTATCGGGACGATTTTTGTTGTCTGTTCATATGGGAAATTTAAGCCCGGTCGACCGGGATGACATTCAAAAAACAAATTAAACCAAAATGTTGCCCAATAAAGGTACATTGTTCGCGAAATCGCAGCTTTGTTGACTCTCCTAACCTTCGCATACTGCTGAATTAGAAATACATACAAATTAAGGCAAACATTGTGCCAGTTTGGCCGGTCTGTCGCGAAAGCGAACCTATTTTGTCAAAACAGTTTCGTCGCGGTTACCGGGAACCGAGATCTCAGTAACCGGGCTGGCCGGCGTTCTCATATGAACACATTGTTATTACTTTTTTTTTTTTAAGAGAAAATATGATTGAGGGCCAGCCCGTCAACTGTTTTCGTGTGAAGAACGACGACGAAAATTTTCAGTTTTAAGAAATGCGCGATTCGGTTACTTAAATATCCATCATCAGTTCGCAAATATTGCAACAATTGAAAACCTGTAAAAAAGAATAAGAAATTTGAGAAATAATACACACAAGACGAAATAGTATGAACTAATTACCCAATTAAATTGTGAAAGTTTTGGTGACGGCCACGATATTGGTAATACCGATAAATTAAAATTCTTACTTAGCAGCGAGAAAATTAATTATTCATCACTTAACCTCGATGTGATTTGTTTCGTTTTATTCCCCGAGCCTTGGAGCAGAGTTATAAATTCAATATATCGAAATATATAGAATTTCAATTTTCAACGTCTCATATAATTATATATATATGATTTATAATACATATCATTTTAATTCTGATTTCAATATATCTCATTTAGCAGAGGCTAAAAATTTTATTATTTGGGAACACTAATATGCCACTGTAAGGTCAAACTATAATAAGTTGAGGATAGCTCCGAAAACTGCGATAATGAAAAACGAAAGAAAGAAAAAGTAAAGAAGAACTGTTATTTCATTTGAATGTTCAACCTGTGTAAGAAGCTGGAAAAATGCAACTCCATGAAGTCAAGTAACCCAACAGTTGTCTTTTGGTTTTACAGATAGTTCCGAGACAGTGACTATCACCCCGTCGTACTCGGTCAATGTTACACAATACATGATGAATTACACACAGTACACTGTCAATGTTACAATGACATCAACAACAATGTCACCATCTATGACGAGTTACTCTGTCCCAGTCTCAGCCACACCGCCGCTGCCATCATATTGCCACCAAGTTTGCAGATGCAACAGCTCTGTCGGTAAGTGAATGAACACGTGTGGTTGTGGTGTACCGTTGGTGGAATTGTGGATAAAAAGGACATATAAATATAAAAAAGTTCAATCTTGGGTGCTTTCCATTCAACCCAACATTCCGGAACTTTCTAAACGGAGACAAATTGTATGGCAATTTCCTCGGAAGGTTTTCGGAAAATCCAAAACTTGTTGAAGCTCCGAAGTGCGAACCATTCAACCGAAAATTCGGGAAATTCCAGGAGGAAACTCACGTGGAACGGGAATTCCCGGAGAGAAATTTTCCAAAATTTGTGTATACCTCACCAGGTTGTCCTCTTTTCCCGATATTCCGGAAAATGTTGTTCCATTCGCCTATGGAAATTTCTGGAAATTCAAAACAAATTGTTAATTGGTCTAATGGGAAGCCCCTCTTATTTTTGCGTCCTGTTGTCCTATGCAACTGACGTGTAAGAAGGGTATTATCTGACGCTGAAATGCAGCCAATTATTTGTTCTTGACTGTAACAATTCAGATTCTTATTACCTTTTTGGTAGACGTTCATCGCTGATTGGTTCTCTCAATGTATAGTGCCCATTCTCTGCCATAATCCATCAAATATCTTTGTTCGCGTGCCACCAGTCGGAACAGGTCACTTGATGCAGTAAAACTGAGAAACATCCTGTCACATCCTCCAAGTGATTTTTCTCTATTTTTGACATTTCAAGTTTATCTTCACACATTTAGTTTTTATCTCAACTAGGAGTACTATGTGACGTGTGACAATTTAGAAACGAGGTATCTTCAAAACAGCGACTTTGAGTTCAATATTTGAATGATTAACCCATTGACCTTTTGACTATTTGCTCATACAAAACTCGGCATCGCAGTCTAAATTTTAAATTAAAATAACTAGAGAACTGATGTCAGGATCAAAAGCAATTTCCTTATGATATTTCCTCTTACTAGGGAGATTTTACCTGGAATGAGTGCTTTCCGTGGCTAGTCAATTTCTTAATTTTTAAATCCAGGCTTTGCTATCGATTATGGATTTCGCAAGGAAAAAAGTAGCGATAATCACCTATTCGGACGGACTAACAACCGAGGTACCTTAATGAGAGAGTGATTACGTTGGCATCCAGTCTCTTTAACAAAGTTTCCCTTTTCCTTCACATAGCATATGCCACCACCATGGCCTACAACATGACGTCAAATGCGACCCTTGGAATGGATATGACGACAATGTCAGCAGACATGACGTCATCACCTGTCAACATGTCATCTTACAGCATGAATCCAACTCCATCCAGTGTGATGAGCATGACGTATTCAGCGAGTGCAAATGTCACAGTTATGAGCTACAACTCCTCGGTTTTACTGGCACCAAGTTCCTCAGTTTCTATGCCTTTCGTTTGTCCCAACGAATCCTGTTGGGTGGAGATCGAGTGCATGTCACGTGAGCAAGCTTTTCTCCTTCGTTTGAAAAAAGTAGTAGAATTAATCGTCGCATTTCAAAATATTTGCTTGTTGGCTTCACGTCTAGAACATGCTTGTAACTGGTAAACAATGAAAAACCTATTTTCAACTTACAATGCTAACACATCACGTAGTATAGATTGCAGAGGTGGATATCAAGAACTGCAAAATAGTCAGTTCAATCATAATAAACAACACACAAACAAAACCTGCCAGGCAATCAAAATATTAACCCTATAGGGTTAGGGTAACCTGAATAACAGAAACCTCTGAAACACGCCGGGTACTTGCGAGGAGTTCGCAATTCCGTAATAGCAGGACTCCGTTAGAACGGAAGTTGTTTCCTTACATATCTTTACAGTTTTGGCCTGAGATGCAGCTTCTGTTCGTAACAGGGGATGTACGGGATCCGCTATGCAAGATTTGACTGTGTTTGCGATCTGTTACATGCCATGAGAACTTTTGAAAATATTATTTCTCCACGCTTTCTGAATCCACGGCTTCTTTGACAATATTATGTATCACCAAAAAAGAGAACAAACGCCTAGAAGTTGGCATCAGTTTGTTAACTTACAAGTGATCAAATTTGTGAAAGATCATATATCCGAGCTGCGGAGAAAGCATTTTGACGTACCTTGATGAGCCATAGAAAATTAAAGATTTAGCCAAATCGAAAAATGTTTTTTCAACAAAATAGGCTTTGTTATTTTACGGAAAAAATTAGGGGTTAGGTGCACTTTAACTGAGCTGTGAAATTGAAGCCCGTAAAAAAGTCATGCTTGGACGGGATTCGAATCCTTAACTATGACTATGTATATAACAACGATGATCAATCATGTCTTCAGTTTGTTAAATTAATATGTAATCTACACCCCTGCCTTGGAGAAACCACGTTGAAACAAAATAATGATAAGCAGCGTCTGAGATGAGCGTCTAGTTAATTTCCTACTTTCATTCTTTTTTTCAGATTCCCCCCGACATTCCGTGACTATTTCACCAACTTTGTCAACGAGTGCATGGATGTCCTCCTCAGTGGCTCCAGCAGGGTGCTCTGAAGTAGTTGACTGCAATGGTAAGTATCTTTCTAAAACATGTCCTGCAAAAAGACCACTACCGGAACGTCGACTTATTAATATTCCAAGGCCATCAATAATGGCAGCATTTGCAAACACGGTTGTTGGTTACTAACGCTTTGCAAACCTAAGCATAGTGGAAGTCATCCGCAGAGGTAAATAACAAGTTGCTTGTCAGGTATAAAAGCTGCGGTCACTGACAACGAATTGTCACGTTGAACCTCCTTAATGTCTCCCTATTTGCTTTTAATCAACCAAACGACTATCCAAATGTCGTGAATCAGCAATGTAGCTGACTTTTGTAATTTGTGGGAGGTCGCGGGTTTGCAGGCTAGCTGGCTGACTGGTTGGTTAGCTTGCAATCTAAAACCTGGCTCCATTAATAAGGTAAAGGTAATGTCTGTATACGAGCCAAGGGGCCTATCAGGCCGGAGCTTATCCCGGTTTCTGCAGTTTGAAGCGACTAGGAGTATTTCTACCCCCTGCCTGGGATGTTAATGCATCGCAGGGTTACCCTCAGCATTAAATTCACCGACCTGGGTGAAGAGAGGCACTATAAGAGTAAAGTGTCTGCCCAAGAACACAACAGAATGTCTCCGGCCAGGGCTTCAATCCGGACCACTCGATACGGAGTCAAGCGCACTAACCATGAGGCCATTACGCCTCCACGTTAATATTTTCCTTTTATTCGCCTAGGGGCGAAATTATTTCCTAACTGAAAACTCAGAGACTTTATCTGTGTACGTTTAAATTCATTCATTTTTCTTTAATTGAGCGTTATTTTTCGATTCATCTTAATCTTTCTTTGTTTGCTTTAGGTGATTGTGGCGGTAGCGCATATATGGACTGTGAAAAATGCATCGAGGTGAGATTTCGATTTCCTTATTTCACTCTCAGAAATTTAATCACTCGATTAATAATCCGTGACTAATATAAGCATTGTTGTAAAACCCTAGCAACAATTCACGGGTGACTCTATCATATTTCTTCAGGGTAACACAGGTGCCACTTCACTGAGAGACTGTGGTAACATATGCGATGGCACTGCTGTCAACTCGAGCTGTGGAACCTGCTTACAACAAGGACAATCAGATCCATACTTGGACTGCAACAACGAGTGTTTCGGCGAAGCAACCATTGATAGTTGCAATGTTTGCACAGGTGGCAATACTGGAAAGGTGGCCAATTACTTGATGGATGAATGCGGTACGTTTGTCAGTCCAATACCCGAATTAGTTAATTGTGGTCTTTTTTTTCCTTTGTTGTTATTGTTTTTGTTGTCCTCTTTTAAACTAAATTGTAAACTGTAAATTCTTGCTTCGTCTCTTCAGACCTACAATTAGACACAACTAGGCTGGAGACTAACTCGAAAACTTACGGTTCATTTAGCCTCCAGTCTCATTAGAACAAGATTACCTTACCTGAAACCTTACCAACAGTCACCTTACGTCAAACCTACTTCATATATTCAATTTACATTAAAATGTTATAATATTCATTTTCCTATTGAGAAATAAATATGTTGTTGTTGTCGATGATGATGATGCTGTTGTAGTTGCTGATGATGATGTTGTTGTTGCTGCTGTTGTTGTTGTTGTTGATGCTGATGTTGTTGTTGTTGATGTTACTGTTGTTGTTGATGATGATGATGCTGTTGT